TCCACTGGATGGGACTCCAACAGCATCGGTGACTCCAACAGCATCGGTGACTCCAGAGCGATCCAACGCCGGAAGCGCGGACGCGATCGACCAGAGCGACCATCGCCTTCAGCTCCTTGGCGACGTCCACGGCTCGGACCAAGTCCACAGAAGCGGAGCCTGCGAGCTCGGGTCCGGATCCAGGCGGCATCCGGTGTGGACATGTGGTGATTATGTGATGGACATGTGGGCGATGGATTGTTTTTTCACAGGCGTGTGATGAAGAAAGATGGAATATCTTGATGATACTGTATATATATGATATTTTATATATGATATTTGTTGCACTTCAAGCAGTTTCAATTCAGCAAACGGTTGGGGTCACAGCGCAAATTGAGCGAAAATCCATGTTTGCACAAGGTCACGTTGACTAGTTCTATATTTCATCACCAATACCTGATACTCCTTAATAAACAATATATTTCATCACCAACCGGGGTCGTCCATCCTTTGACGTGTCCGATGTCGTCTCTACCAGTCATGTGGATGACGCTTCAATAAAGGTTCAAGGAACCAGCTGGCTGCGGGTGCTGGTTCAAGTTAAGGTTTCGGAATCTTACAGTACTTCATAGGCTGCGGGTTCGGAATCTTACTTCAAGATTCATTCGGAACCAGTAAGCCTGCTATGTAAGCCTTATCCACTGTCTGCGGGTGCTGGGGTGGGATCATGCACACAATCGTTGTTTTCTATCCAAGTGGCGCCTATTCCCTGCGTTACTGTGTGGGCACTGAGAACTGGCAACACTCGAAAGTTCAGGATGGTTCCCCCGTGTTGCCCCAATCACTAGTCTTGGGAAAAGGACCTTGGGATTGGATGATCTTATTATAATAGATCTTATAGTTATTATAGTATTCAAAATGGTCTGAAAAGCACCTGCCAATGGGTCACATCACATTGACTCCCCTGTCCCAACCCTTGGAGTCGGTTCGCTTCGCCGACCCGGACCGCACAACCTGCCTGGCGGACCCTCGGTGAGTGTGGTGGTCTCGTTGAAAGGTCTACTCGACGGGTCTTTACCATCACACTCATCCGCGGAATCCAGGGGATCCATTTGATCCGGCGAGACGACACGGTCCATTGCGCAGGAACCACGGCGTTCAGGCCCCTCTTTCAAGTGGCCGGGTGTTCCGCGCTTGGAACCACAATCCCTTGAGAGTTCTGAGGTTTCCTCTCTTCTTCAACTCAGAGTGATGCCATCTAAATCACTTAAACGCTACTTGCCTGTTCTGAAGTCTGCAATGAAACGCGACAGTCTAGGAGCCGCTTCAGTCTTCACGGGCGGATCGCTTGGGTTGCCAGCTGGACCGGAGCGAACGTCTTAAACCGCAGTCGTTCGGGGCTCGGTCGGTGTGTGCTGTTCAATCCTTTATATTATTAAACAAAACGGTTCAGCAACGGGTCAAAGTGGCTTGCATCTTGCAAATCTAGAGCTTTAACAAAAACCTTGGAGTCTACAGTATGAATAACCTTCCCACTCTGTTTGTTCCTCTCCGTTGCTTGGTGTTGGAAGGTTTCGCCTTGCACAGATCCAGGGGTTTCGTCCTTGAAAAGGGCGAACACATAAAAAACCACGTCTTTGTGTGAAGCAACGTCATGCGGTCTCAAAGCAATACTAACATCGAAAAGCTGACAGGAATTGGCACTCGGACCTGGAAATCGTTCGATGACATGGCTGATTCCACGCGTTCGCCGAAACCATCGATTTTAAGGAATTTTAAGATAGTTTTTAGTCGACCTGCAAAAATGTTCTCTCCGGACAGAATGAACATGGATCCACTCCAAGAAGTTGCTGAGTAAAAGTTTCTGTTCAGTTTCCCTGAAAATCTGGACCATGTTGAGCTGCGAAAAATCCTGCAACTGAAGAGTTTCTGGATTTCCTTCTGCTCTTGAACCTCCAAATCGAACCCAAATACAGTATCCTTCCTCGACCAAGCACCGAACCGACCAACCACTGGACCCTGCACCTCCGGCTCGAAGTGGTGAGCGACGAGGGCCAAAAGGCTTTCACACCTGGCGGTTCAGCTTTTCGCGAACGAGTCGATGGATGGATCAAAAGAAATGGACACGTTCAGTTCTATGTTTGTTCCGTTGCTGCAATGTTTTCATGTTTTCTATGTGGATGATGTGATGCTGTGTTTTTGACCATCTTCCGTGAGGCTCCTTTTGTATGAATCCGACCCAAAAATAGAACATTAAAATACCGAGTGATTCCCTGACATCAAACCATCAAAGCCCCATCTTCTTTTGGGTGCAAGGCTTGGATCATACAACTTAACAACTTAACAACCCCAAAATACCACGGCAAGCCTCCCCAAAGCCCAAATGTGGTCCCAGATCACTACATTTGAGAGCCCTGCAGCTAGCCCTGCAATATATGAACCATTCGAGAATCTTGGAGAGAGGGGTTCTAGGGTCGGGTCAGGTGGTGTAAATATGTATATATATATATGTATTAATCCTGGATAGAATATTGGAAATTCCCAAAAAAAACTGGTAATACTATTGGATGGCTCATATTCTATCTAATTGTATACTCCAGGATGATCATAAACAACAAGGAAAGAACAAAGCATGTAGGATCAGGGGATGCCTTACAATTCCTACTGCCAAGTACCTGTCTATCATCCCAAATACTACCCGAGAATGCCTTCTCGGTGGCTCAAGTGATCCTTCCGAACAAAAGATAATGATAGAGATTCTGCGGATTCTTACAGTATGTTTGCCGTACTACTCAATTACCTTTATATAGTAATTTCATGTAATTTCTATATTGCTTAATGTAGAGACACACACACACGTTCAAGGGGAATCCTCAAACCTACCACTTTCTCACAGTATCTCACAGTCTCCATTTCTTGCATCCTCCCAACCCATGTTTGCATGCGATTCTGTCGCATCTGTCGCGACCGAAGCGGTCCTTAACGGTCGCTCTGTCTCGGTGTGGGGAACTCTTCGGTCCGGCGGCGCCTGTCCACCTTCACCTTGGTCTGAGACGTGAGGTAGTGAAGCTCCTCAGTGGAAGAACCCGGCTGAGGAAGAGCCCCAGACGGAGGACAGGAAGGACGAGCTTCAGTACATCCAGACTGGAAGGAACTCAGCAAAAAATTGGATTGGTCCGTCTCCATGCAGCATTTCTTTTGAGAAGATCCTCATCATCACTTACCCACGAGTGTGCCCATGCTTGTATGCTACCATGTTGTCATACATGTTGTGTTGAAGATTGATAGTTCTCAGATCCTTCCACTCAGCAACTCTGCGTTGGGTGTACTCTATCATCACAGCTTCCAAGGTGAATCTTTTGAGAAGATCCTCACCCCCGTTGAGAAGATCCTCACCCAGAAGAATAGCTTCAGGTCGGCTGACCTGGTGTCTAGTGGGCCAATTCTATTGTAGGTTAATGATGATGGATGACTTTCATTGTTCGTTTGTGTCGCTTTGGCTGCTCGAGGGCTCGAGGGGCTTGCTGAAAGCCCTGCTGGTGAATTTAGGTTACAAACAAAAGGATTGAAGGGTCGCGCAGTCACGCAAGATTCAAAGTCCGAAGCTACCCAGAATCAGAAATACTCAGAAGCCTTGTTATAAAAAAACGGGAAACTGAGGACAAATACGCATTCGTTGGGAAGCATCTGAGACTCTAAGGCTGAACACACATATGAGTGTCGTTGGCTTAGCTTTGAATCCCCCTCGTACAGGTCCACCAAGTGCCATGTGACGAATCCCGGAACGTAACGATACACTGTTTTATGTGGTTTTATGTTCTAGTATATTGTTTTTCCCCACCTGCCAGGTGAGGGTTTTTAGATTTTATCACAGTTGTTCTTCCTCTTCCTTCCTTCCTTCCTTCCTTCCTTCCGTCCTTCCTTCCTTCCTTCCTTCCTTCCTCCCTTCCTCCCTTCCTCCCTTCCTCCCTTCCTCCTTGCTTCCTTGATCGCCAACCTCCTCGCCAATCTTCATCGCCAACCTTCATCGCCAATCTTCATCGCCAATCTTCTTCGCCAATCTGCTTCGCCAATCTGCTTCGCCGATCTTGTCTGGCAAGCTCCGGATCGCAGTGTGCACCCCTGGACCTCAACCGCAAGGATCCGATCGCA